CTTTTTTTCCCCCCATTTCTTCAGGCAGCCACCCCCTATGAGGCAGGGATAAAACAACAGAAAATTATGTGTATGGTTGGAGACGTATAAAAACTATTTTGGCAATAAACATGTTTGCGAGAGGCCTGTTTGTACACTATGTTTATGTTATTCTGCTTGAAGTGCAATGAGATATGCTGAGAGATTGATATGTTTAAGTATGTGTGTGGGTGGGTTCATTAGAGCCTGCCATCAAGTGGTGTGGGGCGGCACTCCCTATTCCCGGTCACAAAAAAACCCAGCACAAACAACAAATAATTACACACTGATCTGGCTCAATTACTGCTATAACTTAAAGATAACAAAAGTGTGAAAAACATGATAACTTAAAAAGCGTTTATTTCACCACCAGAGGAAAACAGCAGATAACAGGCCATGACAAATGATCTGTGTAGCATTCCTCTGACGTCATCCCTTCGCACTAAATACACATCCTTACACCATTATTTGAACAATACACGCATTCATACAAACACAGGCACAGGAATCTGCATGTCTACAGAGAAGCAAAACAAAACCCACATCACCCACACTCCTAAAAAGCATGTTTCAACACTTGTGTAATTTCTTAAAAAAAAATGCAGGGAAACTACCACGTTCTCAAGGACGTCAGACATGTCTTCATCTGGGCCCACTGCACTTGTGATCTCTGATTGGTGCTACAAAGTCCAGACAGCGCTTTGGGACAGATAGACCTCAGCTTCAAAGAGCGAGAGGAAATGCCATGCCCTTCCTGTCACTCCTAGTCGGAACCAAATGACGTGGTCGAGATGTAATGAGGAGATTACACATCCAAAGAGAAAAAAATAAATAGTATGAGCTAAGGCACACAAAAATAAAAAGGCACAAATGTACAAATGCACGTACACACATATTATTAAATACCAATGTTCAGGAAACAGTGGGAGTTTTGACCTTGACAACTTAGATGAGATTCATTATATTTAGAACTTCGGTTCACAAACTTCCCATGTCCTTCAATCAGGACAATGAGCTTTTTTATACTGACTGGAAATGTTAAGTTTAAGGGATTCCCCAACTGTTCTTAATGACAGCAACTCCTTCACACTGTGTTTTGTTTTCTCTTATCTGCCACCTCTTCATCCCTCATTCATACTCCTCTATCAATGTTTAACCGTACTGTAATTTTCTTCCTGCCCCTTATTGTCTCCTCGATATCACAGTGTTGCTTCTACATTCCACTCTCTTAGCCTGGTTTTGTCATAGGAACAGAAACAAACAATATGAAAGTGCACAGACAGACTAAAAGAAATAGAAGACATTGTTGTGTTGTGTTGGCATATTTAGTATGCCTGTTGCAGGCTAATATCCATCTACTGATAACTTGGACTGCTAAAGAACTCTTGGAGCAAAAGTAGAACATAAGGATTATGTTAAAATACAACAGACTGAGGCTCTCGTTGTTACATAAAATAAACAAAAATTGGTTATGTGAAATCCTATGAACTGCTGACTGGCAGCATCCCCTGGAAGCTACATTTGCGTAAGCCTAGTACCCTGTGTGTTTGTGTGTGTGTGTGGTGTGTGTGTGTGTGTGAAGCCCTGTGGGTGCACAGTATAAGGGGCACAACCGTTGAATGCAGACCTGCCCTTACTTGACTCCTTAATCTTCGGTTTCCTGCCCTCCCTCTCCGTATCTCAGTATAAAAACTTCACGCCACTGTGTATCCTCCCCTGTTTCGCCTCTGCCCTCCCTTCTCTGTATCACACCACACAGCTTCATGCCTCCTTGCCACAGCTCCCTGTCCCATTGCTCTGCCACTCCTGCTGTTTCCACTGGGGCCCTGCACAAAAACTTGCGCTTGGCTTGGTCCCAAACACTGGGGCCCACATACCTCCCAATCTCTAGATTAAATAGCGCCTGTCTCTGAAGTCCTTCCAGGGGCTAATGGCTTTTGTTGCTGGGAATAATCCACACATCCTCTCCCACATCCTGGGGGTCTGCTGGCCTGTTGTGAACCCCGCCTCTACCCTCTTTATGTCTCTCATCTCCATCTCAATCTATGCTTCCATTTTGGTTGACCTCCCCGCCTTCCTATGGCACAAACCCGTGGTTAAGTGCGGAGGCATGCAGGACCGAACCACCCGCACTGAGGGGAGGATGCAGTGAACTGACACTGGGTCGAGACCCATGCAGAGTTTTATAGGGAGTCAGTGCAGGTGCTGTCTGAAGCTTAATGAAGGCCCTAAATCTCTTCTCTGTCATCTGCAGCTAACTGGAGTCTAAGCAGCGAGGGCAAGAGGGATAAGTGCCTGGGAGTTATCCTCATAAGGGAAAGAAAACATCCGTCAAGCAAAAGCCACAGCAGAACAGCCTCTGTGTTAGCACTTGATGTCGGTTCAAAATAAATATAGCAGGGAGGCAGATTTTCACAAGAAGAGGGGAAAGATTTTCCGTAGATCAAAGAACACTCTGTATTTTAGGTGAAGTAGTCAAAATAAGTATGCAAAGTTGAGAGCTATGTGTATGTCCAGACTGCAGCCCTCTTGTCGCCCTCTGTCCTTCAAAATATCTCTGACTGAGACCACTCTTGGCTATAACGTCAGAAATTCACGCAGAATACATATTCAGGTATGAGCTCATATCCTGTCTGGGGCACTTTTCTCCAGGGAGGCAGCCGGGGAGAGGAAAAAGGCAGACAGAGAGAAAGAGAGACTGTGGTTGCAGACCGCAGACACTGGGATAACGTTCACTGACCACCCTAATCAGTTCACTTTATCAACACAATTTTAAAAGAAGGGCCAGTCATTGATGGTCTTTATTTTGCGTCAACTTCCAATTTGAACTTTATTCATATGGCTACTGGCTGGGTTTCAGTCATATCTACAGGCATGCCATATACCAGCTAAAAGAACTATATTGCAGTGAAAATATAAAACTTGATTTCCAGAAAAACTATCAAGTGTAGAACGCTAGAGGCCAGACTGAAGAGTGATCGACCGTACAGAGAAGTGGAGAGGACAGAGAAGGATGGCAAACACAGGGGGCTTGGAGATTTAGGGATATTATGAGGGGAAAGAGAAAAACAAGAAATTAGGAGATGGAAAGAGAAAAATAAGAGACAGTAAAGGGTGAAGAAGAAGTGACAGAAGCTGGAAACAGCCTAGAAGGATGAGAGAAAAGGAGAGTAAGGTAATAACAGAGGGATAAATATGGAAAGGAGGTGGAGGGGAAAGGAGTTAAAAGAGGGGAACATGAGGGTGAAGAGGGAACAAAGAAATGCATAGAGGAGAATTATCTAATGCGTAGGACAATGAATCTGTCATCCTGTGGATTTGCACCCACCCATCTGCCCACAGACCTCCACTAAAACTGCACACAAACATACATACATAAATACACAGGTCTAGTGTGGAGCAAAACGCCTGCAGACCACCTGAAACCTCTGCTGGTAAAAAAAAATAAAAAGATATAACACAGCAGACTATTGACTGACTCGCTGAGTCAATGAAGCAGTGCTCATCAAGAAGTACAGGGTTTGGGGTTAGGGTTTTTGGGTCTTTTTAGGGTGGGTAAAATGAATTAAAGAAGAAGGAAGAACCATATTATGTTTGGAGGAAGGGGTGGAAAAAGTGTAAACGTGCCTGAGAGTGTCAACTTTATGGCTAAAATGGCTAACACATTTGAAAAAAAGCGCGAACAGGTAAAGAGATGGGGTGGGAATTCATTACAGGAAGAGAGCTGTTTGGGATGGAAAAGGGATGAAGGAAGAAAGAGGTGGTGAATTTTGGAAACAGGATGAGGGAAGGGAGGAGTAGCGTTTTGGAAAAGGGATGAAGGAATAGAAAGTAGAGGATTAATAATGAGCCAATGAAAGACAACAGGGATAGTGTATGGAAAAGGAGGGGCCTAGTAAAGAGCCTGAAGATTCCTTTGTCTGCCAACTTTTATGTGATTACATTTTGTCTGGCTGGAAAATACATATATATATATATATATATATATAACTGACACACATCCTTTTATAAGCGCCACAGAAATGCTAGCAGGTCAGAACATAAGTCCCAAAGACCAGTGCTGAAAGTGGTTATGTTGGAGAAAAGGGAGGGATGACAAGTGACTGAACAGAGTTTAGAGGGAGTTTCGGTTGGACTCTTTAATTCTTTAATAAAAGAATTCCGATGTGGAGGATCACCGCAAAGAAGATTGAGACAGAGTGAGAGGGTTTTGAAATGTGAAGTATGTCATTAATCATGCAACCAAGAAAACCAAAAAAGAAGTAGCAGGATAAAGTTGAAAAATAAAAAAAAGTGCTGGCTTTAGCTTTGTTGTGGCAAGTCTTTGATGTTCTGTTTCTTTACAACAAATTGTTATTGTCCACAATTTGGCCTGCATACACCTACTTTAATTGATGGCAGTAAATAGTAAAAATGCTAAGCCATGGCTGCAGAAACTACTGTAACGTGGAAGGTGTCACTTGTAATAAACCCATAGATAATGACCACCCTTACAGAGCATTGTAGCTCATTGTTTTGGTTTTAAGGCCCGCAACTTTACTCATTTTGTTTACTCACAGCTCTCATCAGCATTGTTTCCAGGCAGCTGTTTTTTAGCAAACAGAGCTAAAACAACCAACAGTACACAAACGGCCAAGCACCAATCAGCAAACAGACTAATTTAGCTACTAGCTGGTGAACATAATGCAGCAGTTGGGGTTTGGTGGGGACCAAAACAGAGAGAGAGGGAATATTGGACTTACTGCAAGTCCATCAGGTGGCCATAAACACAACTACAAATTAATTCTACTGTTGCTTTGTGTTCACAGCTTGTCTCTGCTGCCCCCAAATGATATAAACACACAATTTAAATTATGAGCCTGTTTATTACTAGTTTCCTCTGCTTTCCTAACTTCCTTACCCTATCTTCCTTCCAGTATTTTGCACAATATACACAAGAAACACCCATTCCCCCATTCTACCAAAAACCTAGGCGTCATTACCTGGCCATGCCCAGACTGGAGAATCCTGCTGGGACGATGAGAACATCAAGGCGGGGAAAGGGGTGGACCCCCAGAACGGTGTGGGCTGCAGCCAAACATCTAGGCAACAGCTTGAGGACCATCTGCAAAAGGAAAGCAACAGGTTACTAGTATGCAATTGCACCTTTTACCTGAATCAGATGTTTGTATATTAATACAGGTGGGTAGGATATAAAATAATTTACAAGTACATGTATTTGCTCTTCCATATAGCTGTATATGTCTATGATGGTTCTGTGTGCTCAAGGTCAAAGGATATCTAGTATTGAGACTAAGGCAGCAGCACTTACTGTTTGTTCTTAAAAAATGTTCCACCACTCATCTAAGAGGCATCATCAGCTCAGAGCTGACTGAACAGGCAAAAGCCTTTGATTAGAAAATCACATTTAGAGTACGAGGAATGAAGTAGCATCCATGGGAATACATGCTAATTCATCCTTGGCATAATGACACAAAAGTGAACTGATGTTAACTGTCTCTTCTAATCATATAAAATATAATTAGCTCTCGTCTCAGTGGCTCTTTGTCAAAACTCTACCTGGGCCTTCTGCAGCAAGCAGACGGGGCCAAACACACGGTGTGGAATCACCCGCTGGGACCTAGCCGACCGCTCAGTAAATCGACATGGGTAGTCGCCATGGGAACAAGAGATGCCGTCATCCACCATGCCTGAATAATCAGTTACAGAGAACCCCTCATCCTCAAGGGAAGAGTAACAGAATGCAGAGTCTGAGCGGGTGGTCTGGTCTCCGCTGTAGCAGATTAAAATGGGGAAGAAAAGTTTAATCCAAGGTTAATAACGACGGTTTAATGAAATTTCTTGTTGAAACAATATACAGTTCTTTGGTGAACCAAATATGACACAATGTGTCCTGTCTCTCTGTGCTAAGCATGGCAATGAAAGCAGTGGAAATATGGAATATATACGTCACAAAGGCAAACCACAGTGATCCCAAAAATATCTAGGTGCCGACATGCAATCTCATACTCTCTAAATTCAATATCCAGCACTAACTCTACCCTCAGCATCAAAACTGTTCCAAAGATTTAGGCGACATCCAAGTTTCCTTCCAGCGATTCATTGAAAATAAAGGCCTTCCTTGTAGCGGGAGATTCCAGGGGCCTGCAGAAGGCTACACAGCTGGGCTGATGCTGGAGGAAAACCATGAGGGGAGGAGGAGGATTACTGGAAACCACTGGCAGACCTGCCAACCTGCTGGCCAGTGGAGAGGGAGACCCCAGCCCAACCTTGCCCTGCCCACAGCAAGTCAGCCCTCTATAACGCCACAGCCTCAACTCTATATCCTGCACCTCTATAAATTTTATGTCAGCTGTGCTTATTTTGGTCCCCAAATATCATTTCTGCTGAGCATTGAACCCAATGTACTATGGTGCAAGCTTTAATGTACTTGTCATAAAAAGCTGATTGAGTGCTGCACCCTATCCATCACCCTAATTTTATCTACACCATTTTTGGTATGGTGAAAGGAAAGTTTCACTATGGAATGTTAAAGGGCCAGACTTAGTTAATAACAGTCTTGAGAGAAGGAGGTCTTGAAAGAAGAAAAGAAGGAAAAATTATAAAATACCTGTCAGTCTGGAGTGGAGAGCCCTTTACGACTTTGCTGGTGGAGCTTCCAGGCCCAGACAAAAGCTCAGCCTCAGTCCATTCCCCAGGTCCAGCCCCAGGTTTGGCTGTCTTACCACAATCCGTCCTGTCCCTCACCCTGTCTTCCAGTGCTGGGGGGATTTCTGCTGTGACTTGGCGCCAGTGGCCCACTGCCAAGGTGAAGGTGGAGGCAGGCATGGGCATAGTGACGTAGTAACTCCAGTTTGAGAAACCTGCAGTAGAGGAATGATGGGACAGAAAGGATGAAAATGTCGAAATCAGACTGAATTGGCATTTTGTGTCACTTCACTAACCAATCAGTAGAAAGTATCTCTCAGCATTTCAGATGACACAGGCCGATGGTGGTGGTTGCTATAAACAGTTAACATCTTTCCTATCAATCAAAGAAATTTCACATTTCCATTTTTGCAACAATTCTCTGTCATTCTTACAATGCTCTGACTGGTTTGGTTGAAACCATACGTTAAGTCCAGGTCCCAATAATACCAAAATTAATACCTTGCATGATTCTCTACAATTCCCTTTTTTCATTAAACAAAATAAGCTTTTAAGAAATAAATAAGAACATTTCTGTTCAGGCCTGTCTTAACAAAAGCTGCTGTGCAGAAATTTTGCATGAATGCAGTTAAAAAATTGGCAACATTTCCTGATTTCCTCATTTTAAAATCAGGAAATATTTGACCAAACAAGCAAACAAGCCTAATTATATTTATTACCAAGCATTTAGTGCTGACTTATACTTGAGACTTTTTAATGCTTGATGCTACAAACACATTTACTCAAAAAGTATTACACTTACAATTCAGTAAAATGTGTTTTTATAATTGAACGAATCAATTAACAATAAGCCACGTTTTCAAAGCAAGGATCTAAAAGAAGGTGTCGTAAGCCCTTTGAGGCAAATTTGTGATATATGGTTTGCATAAAAAAAATCAACTCGACTTCTACTGGTTGTCACAAAAGGTTTGTGACATAACAGCTTACGTGTGTCCCCGTCCTCAGTAGGTACAGTCTGCTCCTCCCCACTCATCAAAACCACACACTCACTGGGGGCCCGTACTGTTGCCTGCCATGTTGACATGGCAACAGGCGGCTCCTGGCAGGGAAAGAGGGCTCGGTTGTTGATGGGAGAACCGGCAGTGTAAACACACAACCTGGAAGGGTAAACAATGGTAAACTATAAACAACCCTCATTTCAATGCTCAAAGGATCCACGCACAGACACACACACACACATACACATAAAGCATCCACACACAGAACAGAATATAATAGCCTGAGGTGTGCTTTGTGAATTAATGAATCAGAATTATTCTATTCTAACATGGCAAGCTCAGAATATTACACTGTAATTCAAGGAGCAGAAATCAGAGCAGATGTGCTGCCAGTCGCCAGTTTTAAAATCTTTAAGGGGGG